GGGCGGCGCGGTGAGGCGCTGGGGCTCCCCTGCTTCCCCCTGAGGAAAGGGAGGCCGGTGTTAACGCTCTGCCCTCCCTCTTGGCCCCCGTTGCTGGTATAAACGCTTCTGCGCTGAGGGCTTGTCTGTGGGGAGCCCCGTTTCCCTTAGGCTGCCTGCGGCTGCGGCTGCCCCTCCTCTCTGGACATCTTCCTTTCACGGGTTAGCGCGTAAAAGAACCAGTGACTCTTTTCGGGGCGTGCGAGAGACGTGCTCAGCTTCCTCCTACCCGCCTCTGTCAGAGGTATAGCGGGGAGCTTAAGTTTTAAAAGCTCTTTATGTGTCGAAGGGTACGCGCGTAACAATAAATGAACTGTTAAAAGCTCTTTTAAATCCGTCGCAGGAACTTTTCTTTCGAAAAGTTGCTTGCCGGTAGATTATACTGCGCTCTGCTGCAAGGGAAGAAGTTTAAGCCCGAGTGACTGATTTGCTGTGGAGTATGGTTCTGCGCTGTTTCTGAAATGATTACTTTTGGTCAGTCGTTTTCCCATGTGTTAGAGTTTCTTCCTGCCATTTTAAGCGGATGTTGAAAATTTTTAGTGGAATAAATCCTTAAGTAGTTTTGGTTATTCTTAGTACCAGAAGTAGTATCTAAAGATGAATAGCAAAGAAGTGCAAAGTAATGTCGGTATGGCAAATTTAGGAAAAATGTGCGGAATTCTGTTGTCTTAGGACTAGATAATCTCCCACATGCGCTCTATTTCAGTTTACTCAAAAGAATTGTTTTCTAAACATTTAGAATTTTTGTGAGACATTTTCTTGTCACGTTGGTGAAAAATTGCACTCTGCTTAGCTCTCTAATTTTCCTTGACTTGCCCTTTTTTGTTTTTATCCTCTACAGTCTTCGCCTGTCCCCAGCTCAGTAGGCTTTATTTCATTTGTTGGCATAGAAAGTAATGCTGATAGTATACTATTGTTTGGATTATTACTACTCTAGTTGTGGTAATAGATGTCTGGAGTCCTGTCTGCTATCAAATGACTTGGATGATACTCAGAGTTCAAGTATATGACGAAATGCAGGGAGTTAATCAAGACTTTAGTTTTACTGTGGAACAGCTAACGTGCTGTCACTGCCTATCAACGTGCTCTGCCTGTGATAAACACAGGGTAAGAATATCCGCATGAGCGGTTCTTACAGAGCAGCAGATGTCTTGTTATATCCTAGCTTGCTTTGTGGTAGTTCATTCCTTTTTGTTACTTAAAAGATTATTTCTGTAGTCATCACAGAAATGCTAACCAAATCCGTAGATTCTCTGTGATTTCTGTCATGTAAGTCTCCTGTAAGTCTCTCTGACTTTAAGTGCAACAGGTGCTTGATGGTTCTTGAGGACAGCTGAATTTCTGGCAGTTGTTACAGGGGTTGTAGCTACTGCAGCTACGACATGTTTTTCTAGGGAAAACAGGGCTGCAGTAACTCCCACTTGTTTCAGATGGATCGAGTATCGTCGAGACTTGCTTGCATGAGAAACGGGGTTGGTCGCTTACTTGTTTCTCTGTTGAGTGTCACCATGCTTAGTAAAAATTGATTCTTATTTCTTCACAGAATCATTTTAAAAAAGGCTACAGAGCAAGATTCTGCCATGGAGAAGGGTAATTAACATTTAAAATTTTATTCTTAGATCCTTAGATTCTTAGACTGTTTGGAAAACTTATACTGATTTTTGTCCGAAAGCTTAATGTCAGAACTATTGGGTGTATCTTACTAAACTGATCTTATGATGTTTCCCAAACTTTTTGAATTTCTTAGTGGTGGGAGGAGCAAATTGTGGTGGGGGACAAAGCACCAAGGATTTCCTTTGTATTCCTCTGCTGAGGCTGCAGACTGTGGTGTAGCTATACCTAAGCTACCCCTAACTAGGCTGCCTAAGCATGGAAGCAGTAGCCTGTGCAAACACTTTGCCTTTCAAGAGGAAGCCCACTCAAGAGTTCTAGCTAGTGGATCACTTCTGACATTTTCATTTGTCCTGGGGATGTTTGAAATAGTAATCCAAGCAGTTGAGCTGTTTGCTTACTTATGGATTTGATACATCACGCAAATTCTTGCTGCTGAAACTTCCGTAGAAGCACAGAATACCTGTGCATAAGCAGTAGAAAAAGAAGCAGATGACTCCTTATATGAAGGGATAGATGTGCAGCCTACATATTCCGTTTCTGGGTCTGCTGAGACTGGATCACTGTGCAGGCAACGTTACTTGACTTGTTTTTGTTGTTTTTTGTTTTTTTTTTTTTAATGTCTGTTTCAAGTGAGACTCCCAAAGGTGTTTTACTTGGGGGCTGTTGCATGTTGTATGTTTTCTTTTTTGTAGAGTGGTTTCTTCATTCTCATCGTATTCTGTGGCAGTGGATCTTTTTCTCCTGGAATCCTTATTTAAACGAGTTTCTAAACTTCTAAGTGGAAATGGTTGATTAATATTAAAGTTGGGACTGGTGGAAATAATCTAAAATATTAAGTAGTAAGAACTTTACTATTATATTGCTGGGATAGGAACATTTAGTATTTTTGATTGAAAAATAGTTTTTTTTCCCCTCTTCTTTCTAGAACTAAGATTGATGTGCAGCCAGGTCAAAATGTACTGAAACTCGTACAGGATTGTTTTGAAAGTAAGCTTTTATTTGGTGTTTTAGTTAATTTGCTGGTTAAAGAGAAAATTAATTTCTTCCTTGTATTATATTTAGTAGTAAATAAATAGAAATAAAAAATAAAGTCTTTCTCACTGTCTTTAAAAGCAGCCCCTTCTAAGCCACTTAAAAGTGTGTCTTAGCAGTCTTATAAAGGTAATTTTTTCCCAAGTAGCTGGTTTCTTTCTTGTTTGGATTTACATGAACTTTCTGAGCCTTAGCAACTTGTTAAAATAAATTAAACCTGGACAATTCCAAGAATTGCTTATTCATAGTTTTTTCTTTATAGGTTGTGGTAATGATCTTACAATAAGCTCTCCAAGTGCAACCCACTGCTCAACTCCTGTTAGCAGCAGGAAGAGGACTTCAACACAGAGCCAAAGCGTAAGTTAGTTATGGCACTGTCACAACATAGCATTGGGTACAGTTTCACTTGGGTACAAGTTTTGTTCTGTAGGATTTAGTTCAGGCTATGATTTAACCTTCTGTAATAGTTGTTGGTAATGCTTTTTTCTTAGTTTGTTGTGCTCTATTAGTAAATATTCTATAATTAGATTTATTTAATAGCTTATTTTCTTGGGTTTTTGCTAATGAAAGCTTTTTCAGCTTTTTGTCCAGGACAGTTAGAATCATGCTGCATTATAACTGGTGGTGGGTATGGCTGTCTTGGACTCCATTGGGGTTGGTTTCAGTCACTTTGCCAGATATATGGATACAGTTCTTAGCAGCTGTCTGATGGATAGTAAAATCAAAAGATTATTCTTGTGTAAAAGCAGCTTGTTAACTCCTGATAAACAGTTATCTGTACAATAACTTTGTTTATCTGTAACTTTGTTGAAGAGTGGAAACAAGTTGAAGGACTTGTTAATGTACTGTCTGAGAGAAGGATGCCAGTAATCTAGTTTGTATACTTAGTTTTAATATTTTGATTCTAGTAGTTCATTGTAAAAATACGATATTCTATTAATGGTAGTGTTGAGAACAGGCATAATTTATAATAGTGTTTATTTTAGTCTGATGTTAGAATACTGTATAATCTCAAAGTAATTCTTGCAAAACCTCAGCCTGGCTTAATAAAGGTGAATTAAATTGTTTAAATTAGTTCATTCTAATGAAAAGAGTCAACAGCTTGCCCGTGGACTAGCAGGATGTCAGTTCAAAGCTGCAAATTGATTTTTACTGTACGCATTGTTTTACCTGTTCTTTGAAATTTATAGTTAGTTTTAGAAAGTCTTATGTGATAGAAAATTGAAGTGTTTAATTAAAATAGAACTGTGCTTCAAATGGATAAGAATTAAAGGAAGGAAATTATTGTGTTCTGTAGAAAATTCATACTGCTGTCAAAATACTGTTGCTTTATCAAATATTTTACATTGTCTCATTATTTGTTATCGACTATAACAGCCAAAGGCAGGGTTAACTAAGTCTGTGAAAAGAGCCTGTAATTCTGCAGAGTCCTTACCTGCATCACCACTAAAAAGAGTCAGCAGCAGAGGTTGGTAGCACCATTGAATTAAGTTTTCTGGGGTAACTGTATCTTGGAATTTTGTAAGGTTTTGAGTAGAAGAATTAAATCTATTCTATACGGCAGGACAATCACATGAATCGCCCCCGAAGTGTGCAATACATGGTTGCGTAGCTGATTCTAATAACCTACAGTCTTCTGTGTCTAAAAGAGAAGCAAATGATATATTAAAAGATGTTGAAGCACTATGCGAAAGTCCTGCCGTGTCTTTGGACTCTGAGGATGATTATGGGTCTGTTGGATCACCTCTTCTTGTGGAGGAAGTGAGAAGTTCTCCGGAATGTATGTAAGTAGAGCTGAATGTGTTGGTGGTGGTGTGTCCCCCACCCGCCCTTGGAACACAGTGGTTTCAATCATTTATGAGTTTGGATTGTGAACTCATTAGAAATAATTCCAAGCTTTTTAGAAAATTTCCATATCTGGGTTTAGAAAGGACAGATTTTTTTTTTTATTAAATGTAAGGGTTCATTCCCAAAAGTGCAGTACCCAAGTGTAAGAAGCCTGTCAGAATAGGTTTGAACTCCTTTTCCACAGAATAAGTGCCCCAAATTATCAGCTGCTTAGATAGTCTAGATTTTTTTCAGTGAATCCTATTGACAGTGTTGACCTTAAAATTTAACAAAAAACTTGTTAAAGCAGAGATGAGCAGTCATTGTTTCTCTCACTCTGAATATAAAAATGTTTTATACAAAGCAGAACAACTTTAGTCGTGATCATTACATCCTCTTGGGAAAATTGGAAGCCCAGCTGCAATAGTGGCCAGTGGTCCCAGCCACAGTTCTACTTTCCTTGGAGGACTGAACCTCCAGGGTAAATCATAGAGAGGGACTGATACTGATCCCATTGATCAATGGGAGTGAGTGATCGCGCTCCCACTGGTGGAGTGAGATTGGGAAGAGAGTGCACCTAGGGTCTGGGAAACCTGACAATTTCTGAAGCACATTCTCCTCTAAAATTAGGAATTTGTCTTGCTGAGCAGCCCTCACTTTGATCAAGAGTCGCAAGCTGACCCCATGTTGCGTTGTTGATTTGGACACTTGGTACTATGCTGGGAAGTAGTATTGCTAACCTGTGCTCCAGCAAATTACCAAATGGAAGCTGATTCGTGAGATGTGAGACGCTGTCAGCAGGATAAAATGAGAGCATCTGTCAATCCACGTGATACTTTAATGTGCACTCAAGATTTATAGCATCATATTTGAATGCTGTTTCTCATACATAGATCACATTTTGGTGACCGAAATGCTCCTGCTGCAGTGAAGAGCTGTATGGAAGTTGAAAATTTGGAAGGACCTCAGACTGGGAGAGATGAGAAGGTTGTTCTTGTGCAAGGAACACAAGGTGTTGCTACGTCTTCTGTACAGAAACAGAAGTCTTTCTCTTCCATTGTCTTAGAAGCTGTAGCAACAGGAGCACGTGGAAAAAGGTTTGTTTTGAGGCTTAACATGGTATGTAATCTGCTAGTAAAATAACCCAGTCCTGGGTACTGGAGCACCATTTATCTGTAAACGTGATCTGGGAGAATGTTTTGGGATAGTCCAACATTGCTGAAAAATGCCACTTGAGAAGAGGTTTGTATAGTTGTTTCAAAGTTTTATGCCGTTAGGATTTAACAGTGCTGTTGCTTTTGTCTGCCAGTAAAATTGTAGCTGTTGAATAGTGTTTCAGATTGAGCATGAAATGTTTTGATAGGTTGGAGGATTCAGGAAAACCTTATGTGATTCTGAAGTTAGCAGTGATCAAGCACTGTTTTTCAGAGCTAATATAGATCTGACCGGTTAGATAAGAAGTTGACTATCCAGCATCTGAGAAATAATGAGTTGTGAATATGAGGCCAAAGCAAGGAGAAGCAGGCCTTGTGCTCTTTTTGGAAGCTAAAAGGCAGTGAGTCAGGAACTTAATAATAATTCATCTGAAGAATGTCCTGTAGCATGTTTACAGGTTCTAGAGTCACCACTAAATTTGCAAGATTGAAATGAATTTTTTTCCCCCCCATATGATGTGGTTCTTTGTCCTTCCTTTCTTTAGGTATTCAGCCTCAGTATCACCACCATCACCTCCTCCTGTGAAAGATCAAGATATAGAAATAGAAAATGAATGTGAATTTTTAATTGAGGAATCAGATTGGCTTTCAATACCCTGTAAGAACAAAAAACCAAAAAAAGATGGCCCTGCAACTCCTGTTTCTAAATCTCAGCCATCTGAAAAGGAGAAGACAGAGAGTAAGAAAGGCAAGAGTGGAAAAGCACAGATTGAAGCACTTACTGAAGAGGAAATGGATGATTTGGATGTCAGAGTACATGACTTCAAAGGAACATCAGAATCAGATCCAGCATCTAACAGTAAAGGAAACGTACTTCAATCTCAAAGGCAAACCAGTACTCGTATGGGTAAGTTATTTAACAGGTCCTAAGACTTCTTCTTCCAGGTCATGTTACTGGAATTTTTTGCTACTGGTTTAAATGGGAAATAAAGATGAAGTAGATGAGAGACATTAACGAATTCCCAATTGATGTTTCAGTTGCATGGTTAGATTTGGGTGTATATAAGGTAGTGAGACAGACTGCCTTCACTACTTCTTTTTTTTTTTTTTTTTTCCCTTCCCCACCCCCCCTCCCTTCCTGTTAGGACATTAAAAATTGTTAGCAGTGTTTCCTTTTCTTATGAGCAGACAAAAAGATAGGTACCCACAAGCTTTTGCTCCTCTCTCTGTAGAAATGAGGTTAAGATATATGTTTTGAACTTGAGGGGATCAGTTTTTTAGGAATTATTTGAGTAGGGTGTTGTAGCAGGAAGCACTGAAAACTGGAAAGCAGATTGAATGTAACATTTCTGCCCATTTTGTCTGCTAGGAAAGACTGGAAGTACACCTGAAATTCTGTTTTGGATTTTTCATACACTATAGAGAAAGCCTTCTTTTAACCATCGGGGAAAAATCTGATTTTGTGATACTTGTTTTGGGTGTGCTTGATTCTTTGATTTATTTTTATGCATTCAGATGTCAACATGTATCTTCAGGTTTAATGGGAAAAGATATTAATGTCCCAGTGTTTTGTGTATTGATAGGAAAAACTGAAAAGGCTGCACTTGGACAAGGCTCTTCAAAACAGAAAAACAACACGCCCTGGAAACCAGAAGCTGAAGAACTGATGTCGTCATCGTCTGGATTGAAAACAAAAGCATCTGATGCAGAACAACATAAAACAAATGTCGTGACAAGTGAGGATTCACCTATGCCTTCAACTGCGCATCCGCAAGAGCAGACTGTGTCTCCAAAAAAGAATCTCAGGTCCTCCAAGCGTCTACAGTCGGCTTCAAAAGCTGCTCAGCATTTAGTTCACGAGCAACAAACTGCTAAGCAGAAACTTCCAAAAGCTACAGCAGCTAAGAGACGGGCAGAAACTCCAAGGAAGAAGCTTAAAAAATCTGGCAAGAAAATTAGTGCTAAAAAGCCTCAGTTAAAAAGAAAGAAGAGTTCTAAAAGTGAACCTGGAGAAGAAGAGCTTGAAAGAGAGCTGGTAAAATCGAATGAAGTGTTTACCTCATCGCCGCATCAGAAATTACAGACTTCCAGGATTCGGAAGTCGGCTAAGTCTGAAACGCCTAAAAATGTAGCGCACACGGAGTCACTTGGTGGTGCAGATAGCGAAATTGTTAAAGCACTACAGCATCTCATAGACAGTGTGAAGAATTCTGAAAAGAAACATTTGTCAGCTAAGTCTTCAGGGAAGACACCCAAAAAGAGTAGTGGCAGAATCAGTAAAGGTGTTTGCTCAAACCCTGAGGACACTGAGTCTCAAACAGATTCTGACAGCTCTTCTGTGCAGGACACGGCCAGAAGAAAACAGAAGTTATCAGCTGTGAAAATAAAAAATAACAAAAGAAAACATAACACAGAACATGGACTACAGTAAGCTTTTTATGTAATTCCTTACAAGTGTGGTATAACTTGGTAGATAATGAAACGCATTTTGTTAACATTTAAACAGTAATGGTCCGATTGAACTATGTGACAGTTTCAGTCTGGTTGAATAGCTAATAGAGAGACCAAGTGGTGTAATCAGCATCCTGTTCTCAAAGGTGGGGTGCCAAATCTAGTGTCTGCTTCTACTTAAGGAAACTTGTGCTGGGATTTTTGAAGTGTTCTTTTGAGACTTGAGTAGCAGATCCAGTTTAAAAACAAAAAAAAGACACACATGCACACCGAATCCCACCACCTATAGAATAACTTCACTGTCAGGTTTGTTACTTCGTTTATAGATTGAGAAAATACAGTGTTTAATTCTTCAGCTGTATTTATTTTTGTGGAAGTAACTTTACTAATAATTGGTAATCAAAAGAGGCCGTTTCTTTAACCAATCTAATTGAGTTTTTAATCACTGTTCTTTGCATTGCTTTTTAATTTTTTTTAAAATGTCTTTTTTATGGTTCTGTTTAGTACATAAAATTATTGACCTACAGGTTCCCTCAGTAAGTAAAATTGACTTAATAGTAAACATAGTAATAATGATTTTTTCTCTTGTAGAGATTACTTTGCAGCTGAGGCGTCCATGGGTTGTGAAAGGTAATTTCCTGAGTTGTCTGCAAAACTTGCATTTAATCCCACTTCTGCCCCACTGAGACAGAACAGCTGTTTGGTACTGCTGCTGTGTTCTGTGTTCTACCAGCAAAGAACCTAGTAGAAAAGGGATTGTGGTTCATGCCTGAGGTGCTTAAATACTGTGCTAATACAGTTCATAAACTAATAAAATTCTTCCTGTCATGCATAAGGGTTCATAGTAAGTTTTTTGCCTTTGGGAAATTTTTTTTTTTTGAGGCTTGATTCCACATTAGTGTGTGATTTTTTTTGTTTTTTTTTTTAAATTTTTGAACAGAAATACCAGTGCTCCTAGAACTAATAACAACTGTACTAATAAAGTTGCTGTTAAGTAGGGCACAGAACTGTACCTACAATCCAGACTCATCTGTGTATGTAAAAATGCATATACCTTCTCCTTCATGGGATGTGAGCTTAATAAAAAAGCTAACAGGAGTGGCAGTCTGTGAATTTACTAAATTCTTATGTTGTAATTCTACAGACAATCTTATTTTTTTTATTGTAAGTGAGCCTGCAGACTAAATTGGACAAATTTATAGTGTAGGTTTGCTAATCTAGTATTGAAATGCATGTTTTGGAGTTCAGGTGGCTCACAGCTGGACTTCACTGGCACAGTAGAAGCAGTGAAGCATAGCCACAGATGGGGAAGGAGGAAAGGTTAGGGGGTACTAATGCTAAGGCTGTAAGAGAAGTCCTGTTGTAAGTGATTTGGCTGCTAGAGAATGTCTGGTGGAGTTACGTACACACTAATTATTGTCATTTTATGGGGGAGATTTTATGACAGAATACATATTACAAATTACAATTCCGAACTATTTTACTGTCCTTTCCTTACAGTGTGGAAAACATTTATTTAAAGGACTTCTATAATCATGGTCTATGGAAAATTGTTTGAATGGGAGTGCTACAGAGGAGAATAGAGGGTCTGTTTCTTCTGGAAGTGAGAAAAAAGAAAAAGAAGTCAAGATTTTTAGGAAACTTGTTTAGAGAGAAGGTGTGAACACTAGTTTGTCGGCCTGATCAATTGCTCCTCTATGTTTCAGACCTGTGATTCCTAACTATCAGCCTAATTAAGAGTAGACACTTCATTGTCTAGTTGGTACGGACAGATGTTTAGAAGGAAAGAAACCCCAACCCACATGATCTGAAAAGCCCTTAGATTTGCTATTCTTGGTAGCGCTGTAATGTTCCTTTGACATTTAACATATTCAAGCAGGCATATTTTTTTTTTTTTAACCTTTCAAGCGGTCCTGTTCTAGAACATCGTGATAAATTTGCTTCCAGAAGTAAGTTTTGTGAAGAGGATAATACATCTTCAGGTAACGTTTAAAGTTGGTATTTTCTTGCATTTTATATGTAAGTTCTTAATAATCTGTAATTGATGGTACAGTAATTTCTGTTGTAATCTGCTTGTTCAGAATAAGAAATGCAGATTGTATTGACTGTGGTCACATTTCTGCCTTAGTACGTGGTACAGCATGCCAGCTTTACATTGTATTAGCTTTGGAAGGACAAGCACTACATGGTTTGGCATCAAGTTTACCAGGATAAAGTTATCCTTCCAAACTACATTTAACAAGTTTTTTAGACTCAGTTTGTACCAGTTTGGTGTGTTGCCATGTGATGGTGCTATATACAATCACTTCAGGCCGCCCTAGACCAAATTGCACAGCGTTATGGAACATGGCCTGTTTGCCTAAAAATACATGGTTTTCTTTTAAGTTTCCCTATACAAGTTGCACATATTCTCATAATGAATATGAGCCCCGGGGATACAAAGTCTTTTTGTTAGTGTTTTAGAGCCAGTTGTGAATGTTATTTGTTCATTCAACGCCTTCTTCAGAGACCTGTTTTAGTGTGTGTTCTGGTAAGAAGTTTGTTCTAAACTTAGGCTTGAGTGGTATAAAGCTGAATGACCTTGCGCTTTGATCAATGAAATTATATGTGTAGTTATAATTTGACAATGTTTGTTTTATCAGAGGGATGGATCTGAGGAATATTTACTTGAATGCTTGAAAGTTACATGAAAACTATATGTACACTGTTTAAAAACTTATTACATATACTGTTTATCTATATTGGGTTTCGTATATGATTAATGAAAAAAGTGTTAGAGGTAACACTAATATTGGGACTTCTGCTTGTATTACCTTTGGTTGCTTCTAGTGGGTATATTGAATAAAAGCCAGGAATAGTAAATGCCTATAGCGATGGTTTTTTGAATGTATTTTCAGATAGTTCTGAAGACTTTAATCGTCAAATAAAAGAACTGTTGTCAGACAAGGTAGCAAGGCGTAAAATAGGTAAGATTATTTTAAAATTTCTTAATGTAAGTGCGTAAATGCAAATGCATTTCCAACTTGATTTAAACTTTGCTGTAGAAGACACAGGAAAGCACCTAGAAATGGGTTCATATGTTAATAAATATTTACAGATAAGGCTTATTAGTTCTTCAGGTTACTATAACCCTGCTCTAATTTTTAAGTTACTTTAAAAAACCTAGTGTGTTGTTTTTTTGGGTTTTTTATTACTATACTCAACAATTATCTTTTAAATGTCACATTTCCATTTTTCATTTGATTTGAGTCAACACACTTTACAATTCAGTAAAAACAGTAAGAGTTTGAATTAGTTTTACACAGAGTAACTGAGGGTGCAAATAACCTGCCTTCTGTGGTGGTCTGAGTCTGGATAGGATGGAACAATGGGCATGCAGTCGACTGTGGTCCCGCACTAGTCTGTTTTTATTGTTTTTTGTTCCCTTCATTACTGTTTTATGCACAAAACAATAGTTGTCTACCTTCAAAAACTATTTCAGCAAGTTTTTTTTATTTAACATTTTTATTTTTAGCATTTATTCTTGACTAATCTGCCCTCAACTTTTATTCTTTCTTACAAACACTAAAATATCGAATCTTACTGTATTCATATATGGCAGCTTAGAAAAATTGTAAATTGAGACTATGTAATAAGAAAGTCTGAAGATAAATGTCTGAGAAGTCTTAGAAATGTGTGGGGTTTCTGCTGGCAAAAGTGCTGCTCTTCTGGACCTTGGAGATGGGACTTCAGAGTCTGCAAGAAGAGCAGGGAGCTGCTTATGCAGTCTCTGTTACTCTCTTCTTGCCATAACCAAGGCAGTGCCTCGTCACTGTTGCTAATGAAATCCCTCAGATTTAGGCAGGGTTCTTAGTCTTTGTTGAGAGCTTTGTCTTCACAGTTGTGCTTGAGCCCCTGATGTCTGTATCTAACTGATTCGCTAAGATACATAGAATGAAATCGAACGTAAAGTCACCATGGTGACTGCTTAAGAAAAAGGAGAGTGAAATACTGATGTATGCAAAAGAAGGCTTTTGTCATGACTTGATTCCCTTTTCCTGTCATGGTAGCAATGTGATACAAATATCAGCTGGGAAGTGGTGACCACCTGATACGGAACAACAGGAAAGGGTACTTAATGTTTTCCATTTCTGAATTTTCCTTTCATACTTAATGTGAATGATTTCATCCTTTAAATTAGTGATGCCTTCCAACACACCTAATGTTCGTCGGACAAAAAGAATACGACTAAAACCTCTGGAGTATTGGCGAGGCGAGCGCGTTAACTATACGATGGGGCCTTCAGGTATTAGTTCCAAAATACCTATTTGCTTTCTCCTGATGGGGCATTTAAGAGGAATCTGTGGGTTGCTTTTGTACCATGAAAACTTTGAGATGCTTACTGTTTGGTAATTTGAAAAAAACCTCAACACATTATTTTTGGTCTCGAACTATTTAATCATCTTTCTGTGTAGTCTTTTTCTCTCCTGATACTCTTGTGTCAGCTAGAAATAGTGTCAGCAGAACATCTTAAGTACCCCTGCCTTAAATGTTTAGGGAAGAACAAAATGGTTTCTCTGTACTAGTATGTTTATTACATCAAAGATTCTGTATGATACCAGAAAAAGAGACAATCTACTGGATCATTCATTGGAGCATTTCTCTTTGTGTGGGGCTTGTTCTCCAGAGCAGATACTCTTAATGGTTTATCCAGTCTCAGTGTTAAATTCCCTAAGTGATAGAACATGTCTTGTTCTCAGGGATTTTTTCTGACAATGCAGCCTAATTTGTCCCTTTCCTAATTAGTCTGCTTGAAATAGTATATCTTTCCATCCCTAAAATTGATATTTTGTCTTAAAAATCGACTCTGGCGTCATGGCTTTCTGAAATGTTCTTTGATTGAAATATGATCAAATTTTCAAAAAGTCTCAAGTTGCATTGCACTCCAAAACACTTGATGTTGAAAAGCTTTTTGGTTTGTTCTGGCTTCCTAAAGCTGTGTGAGAAGTTCAGCGTTAAGGAAATACATTCTCAACTAAAATGCTTGTTGGTTATGCAAGTCTGCATTCTTGTAAAATTATTATGAGTTAATGAACTTTCTTTAGTTCATTAACTAACAAGTTCATGAACTAAGAAAGTTTAACTTTCTTTTGTTTCAGGAGGACTTATGATTAGTGGAATAGTATGTCCAGAAACAGGACCTCAGAGGCAGATTAAACAGAGGAGTGATGGTGACAAGCAGCAAAGATGTGAAACAAGTACGAAAACAGACTTTTTCTTGTGATACTTAAAAAAAATAAAATCTGTAATCAAAAACTCTATTGCTGTAAGATTTTTCTACTGTAAAATTTGATTCTGGGTGAAAATAATTTTATAATGAAATGTATTAATGTGATCTGATGTGGAAAGAACTGTTCTTATGTATGTATAGCAGTGCTGTGTAATCTCGTTGTAAAAGCTTTAACTTCTCAGCTTTAGAAAGGAAGAGAGACAGTACATGTCCGAAAGTGTTGTGGTGCTTTTAAAGCAGGAGCTGAAAAAAATAAGCTGTACTTTGTCCTTGTTCAGCTCATTGATTAATGATGCTAATGTGTTTCGTTTCATAATGCACAGGTAAGGTATAAAAACTTCTGATCATGTTAGTGGTACCTGTAATACCACATCCGAAAAGGCAGCATATGGTGTCAATAGAGTTTTCGGCTATTGTAGGTTAAATACAAAATCATAACAAGGTAGGTGAGGAGAGAGCTTTAAGAATAGTGCATGAAATGGTTGAAAGCGGGCAAAAAATCTGTGTTTGAACAAAGAGGAACAGGAAGCTTTGCTAGAGCCTCTATGGCCAGTAGATAATAAGTATGTAGGTAGTGCTCAGAAAAGGGAGATGGAGTCCAAAAGCCAAATTATTTTTGTTGTGCTCTGTGGAAGATATTTTGATGCTAAAGAATCTTTCTTTATGGGGACTGTCTCGAGCTTTTGTTTGAGACAGAAATTTTTCTACATGAAGTTACAGAACAAATAAAACAAATGCTAATAAACATGGAAAATGCCATATGGTCCTGACACAGTTCTAAAACAAATCAGGGCTGAAATAATATTAGAGAAATAAGGAAGACAGTCAGTGTTGGTACAAATTTCTGATTTTCTGGTGTTGCATATAAATTTTATTCCTTACCTCAAAAAGAAAGTAGTAGGACTACTGAAGGTTCAGAGAAAGCTTGTCAAAAACATGGAAGGACTTCTGTACAAGAAGCAACTAAATGGTGAAGGCTTCTCAGCCCTGAAGAGAGTACTGCGGAGGTGTGAGAAAGACCTATAAAATCACAAGTGGCACAGAGAAGGGGAATAGAAATAAATTGTGCTTTATTTTGTTGGGTTTTTTTGCTTGTTTTTAAACACAAGAACTAGAACTTGCGGAAGGAAGATAGTGAGAGCTGGGTTTTTCAAACAAAATTAGGTGGCACTTCTCACTGTATGCTCCCTGCCCCAGTATACTGTGGATAAAAATACTTATGTAGATTCAAGGTGAAAACCAGATAAATTCACAGAAGACTTAACTGTTAATAGCTCTAAATAAATTGTGTGAGCTCCATGTTAGAGGTGGAAAGTATTCCATGGAAGTGCCATTACTCTTTATAGCATTTTCAGGGATGGAAGGGGTACTTGCTTTTGGCTATTGATGGGAGACAGGGTCCTGGTCTAGATCAACCTTTGATCTAAGTACAGTTTGTGTTTTAATAGAAATCATTTGCAGTCCATGTAAACCTGAGCTGGTAGTGACTGTTCATACTGTATCTTACAAGAATTCTTGGTTGCTTTAGGTGCGTTTGAGCAGTCTTGCAGAGGTGATGGATTTCCTTTTGCTTCCTGAGAGATAATCTTTCACTAGCATCCTTGAATTTTAAGTGATGTGTATAAGGACCGTCAGCTGAGTAGGATTCTAGGACAAATTCCTAAATTTTGATAACGATTAAAATTACTGTGGTTATAGCTATAGAGTTGCACCTGTTGCTGCTGCTTTTTATAGAGATGATTATGTTGGAACAAAGCTATTTCAAACTCCGTAGCTTTCTTCCTACCCCTGATTGTCTTAGCGTAAGAGTATTTTAGCAGCCATGAGTGCCTATAAATTGCTATAGTTTGCCTTCAACAGCCTTGTTCTGACTGCATTTGAAGAAATTTCCTGTGCACTGTGGAGCTAAAATTGTCTGTTTAAGAGAGTTCTGCAAGAGAGCTTTGGGGTATATATTCTGTCGTGAGCATTCTCCAGCGTCTCTTTTCCATTTGAAAAGTGTAAGGCTGTCATCAATTCTTAGGCTATTACCTTCTCTGGAAAAATCCTTTTTATTATAGAAATCGTTGTCTGATTTACAACTTACAGTGAGATTCCTGTAATGGTATTGGAAAGTTGAACGTGTGCTTATTCTTCTGAACGCTTTTATCTCTTAAGTCTCCTGATGGCCATCAGCAGTAGGCAAAAGGAAAAAACTACTTCTCCATGTATTTTATATCTTCTCTTAATATCCTCTCAGCATCTGTTACTAGAAAAGCATTTCTTTTAAAATGTAGATACTTTTGAGTAAATACTTGTCATTAATAGCATAGGGTAAATAGTTGGCATTACCCTGGAAAACTCTTTAGGATTTAGAGACCCTTTATCCATTACACACAAAAATAATTCCAATGAAAATTACATTTTCAAAGAATTGTTATAGGTGGTTTTCTATTATTTGAAGAAAGTGTGTTCAGGCTGTTCAGTCAATAAAAAAAATTAAAGTACTTATGTGTGAAATATAAAATTGTGGAAAAGTTGTGGTTAAATAATTAAGTTTTTAAAATGTAGAGTGATTATTTTTCTGTTTTTGGTTTGGTTTTTTTTGCCTCAGGAAGTGACATACCTGCAAATTTGAATCACATCCTAGCTGATGCTTCAAAGCCAACTCCTGTACTGGACCCAGTAACAAATAAGGAAGTACTTCTAGGTGAGTTGAGGGAATGTGACCAAGGGCCTTCCTGAATTATGAAATTGTTCATGCCATTTTGGGCATAAAAAAGTGAGCTGTTGAAATATTCATTGCTCTTGTGGAGAAAATTCTGAGGGAGATACAAAAAGTGTTCTGCTTTTTCAGCTGTATATGAAGTCTAGCTCTTGAGGGTGTTGCACTGAAACAATATGTAATGCATATGATATAATAAGTAGTTACTGAGCAAGTAGCAAGACTAATTATGTGTTAGCATTAATGGTAGTCTGGATTTTTTTTTGTAGAATGTGTTAACACTGAAAGCAGTCACACATGCGTCTTCAGAGATGAAACAGTAGAAGTATACAAAAATTTGAATACATCTGCTTTTGCCGTTGGTAGATTGATTTTGAAACCACTTAAAGAAAAGGGACATCAGTTTGTTCACATAGATACAGTAGTAAGTATGCTTTTTTTCTTATTTTTATAAAATGGACTACGTGAACAGAAAATCTTAGAATGGTTAGAAGTAGCATACAAAGTTGACAGGTTTTTCAGGGTTTTTTTCTCCTATAATGCCAATAAATACAGGAAACATTGATCAGTCATTTCAGTTGTAAAACCAATTATAACCTGAGAAACTTGCTAGAGGCACTTTGCATGCACATTGCACTGCTTTGCTTTACATTAAATCTGTATGTCCATGTACACTTACTGCCTGGAGCTCACAGGCAAAATAGAAGTGTCAAATAAATAAAATTGGCCTCTACCCCTCCCCCCTTTCCTTTTTTATTTTTTTTTTTTTTGAAGTTGTGCGCCTTATTTTTCAGCAGGGTGGGAAAAAGGGATTGCAGCCCTGCTTATTTCTTTTTTGATCTTTGTTACAACATGTATGCAAAACAAAGAGTATGTTTTCTTGGATAACTTTCTTAAATGTTTGTGAAGGAAAAATTACTGATCTTGGAACTCTTTCACTTTCATTAAGGCCTTCCATGTTATCCACGGCAAAATTATTGTTACCTTACATAAGACATCATATTATCTGACTACAGGGGCCTACTTCTATGTTCCAGCAGGTAAGTACATGTGTTTAAAACCAATTTGTTGGAGATGGATGAGGCTGAATTAGCATGCTAGGAAGCAAAACCAAACTGAGTGATGGGAAAAGATAAGTTTGAGTAGAGAGTGGCAAAGTATAGAATCATAGAATGGTTTAGGTTGGGAGGGACCTTAAAAATCACCTAGTTCCAAGCCCCCTGCCATGGGCAGGGACACCTCCCACTAGACCAGGTTGCTCAGAGCCCCATCCAGCCTGGCCTTGAACACCTCCAGGGATGGGGCATCCACAACTTCCCTGGGCAACCTGATCCAGTGCCTCACCACCCTCATAGTGAAAATTTTTTTCTGGATGTGTTCTAAATCTATCCTCTTCCAAGTTTGAAGCCATTATGCCTTGTCCTATCACTACATGCCCTTGGAAAAAGTCCCTCTCCAGCTTTCTTGTAGGCCCCCTTCACATACTGGAAAGCTGCTATAAGGTCTTTCTGGAGCCTTCTCTTCTCCAGGCTGAACAACCCCAACTCTCTCAGCCTGTCTTCACAGGAGAGGTGCTCCAGCCCTCTGATCATCTCCGTGGCCTTCTTCTGGACCCGCTCCAACAGGTCCATGTCCTTTTTATGTAGAGGGCCCAAGAGCTGGACACAGTACTCCGGGTGGGGTCTCATGAGAGTGGAGTAGAGGGGCAGAGTCACCTTCCTTGTCCTGCTGGCCACACTTCTTTTGATGCAGCTCAGGATGCGAGCACACGTTGGTGGCTCACGTTGAGCTTCTCGCGTACCAACACCCCCAAGTCCTTCTCAAGGCTGCTCTCAGTCCATTCCATATAGAGTTATGAAGAAAGGAATGTGACTCAACACTGGACGTGGGTTGATGACCTAACCTTTGAATGCAGTGATACGAACACTGCTTGTTTATGTCAGTTGGCTTCAAAGTTTTTGATGACACTACCAAGTTTTAAGAGTGAATTTCGCTTGGTGTTCTGGTTCTCTCCTTAGCTTTAATGTTGGGGAAACTTCACAGACAGCTTGATGTAGTGATGGTTAATATAATTGGTCACCATCTGCTGTTTTTTCTATGTAAAATTATGAAAATTCATTTGGATCGGTTCACCATATTTTACACTTCATGCTTGAGATACAGAAGGTGCAGAATGTCTTGTTGAACAAGTTCTAACTTCATGTGGGTTGTTGAGAATTTAGACACCTCTGATTTTGCCCATCTGAGATAGAAGTTGAATGAATTCCACACAGGAACTTATCCTTCAGTGGATAAGACAATAGTCAGGAGAGTTTGTAGTAGTTGTAAAGCAGGCTGTAGTGAGCTTTTTGTACAGCGTTTTTGTAACGAAGATATGTTAGAAAATGACAAGTTACCATGTGTTTTTCCATTAACTTTTCACCATGGCATCCTGATTGAACAATCATTGTTCAGTTAATGCTTGGAAGCTTTTTTTTTGTGTTTGTTTTAATCTTAAAAGTTTAGGGGTCTGCAGAGATGATTTTGTAGTCTGCTTTGTGGGAAAGCAGTTTATATAAACTGCTGAAAGTTTCATATGGCTGTAAGGATCTATTTCCATTCTTCCCCGCTTTTTGATGTGTCTCAGTGCGCTTGGATGGGCAATGCAATGGTTGTGGTGGGTGATCTCTTTGTAATTCAGTAATTGTGGCCGTATATGAATGTTAGGATGTTGCGCATTCCCGACGTTCAGTCCCCTTTAGATGTGTCCTGGTTTGAGGTATGGTATGGAATAAGGGGTGGAATGTCCTGTTTTGAGGTAAAACAGGACCAATTTTGTTCAGTAACTTTACTTTTTAGCTGGGCCTCTTCTAACTACTGAAATTAACAGCATATTGTGGAGATGCTGTTCACTCCCAGAGTGATAAGGCCTATGCTTATAGTTGATGCCCAGGCATGGTATGCAGAGAGGCTCTTGCTTATACCTATTGCTATACCACCCAAGGGCAGCTAACTTTGTTATTTGCCCCGTTGGAGGGTCGGAAGCGGAAAAGTGTAGAGGGGTCCCACCTGCGGGGAGGAGCGGACAGGACAGGTGACCCAAAACTGACCAGCGGGGTATTCCGTCCCATCTGCCTCGTGCTCAGTATAAAAGCTGAGGGACCAAAGGGTCAGCCCTCTTTCTTCAATGGCTGGTGTCCGAGGAGGACTCTGTTCATCTGCCTTTGATCCCGATCCGAAATCCAGATCTGGAATCCAGTTCTTGTCCGTCACTGAGTTCAGTCTGGGATTTCCCCAGTGCCAGCCAATGACCTGATTGTCATCCTGGGAGCTTGATGTGGTTTTGTATATATTTCATTATTTTCTTTTTTATTTTATTATTAGTATTAATGTAGTTTAGTACCTTCTGAACTCATGAGTCTCTTTTTCCCTCCTCTGCCTCTCTCTTTGAAGAGAGGTGGTGGGAAGCATCTGTTGCTCGCCCGGTGGCTGGTTCGGACTAAACCACGACAAGGTGGTTTTTTTATTTGTGGTCATGTTAGAATTCAAATCCCAAGTGAAGATCTGCAAAGTTTCCATGTGCAGTTTTTATTGAATTTTTCTGTAGGAATAAATTAAAGTAAATTCAGTCACCGCACAGTTTTCTTGAGGGTTTTGAGAGCTGAGAGCTCAAGCCCATTATATTCTTTTCAGTAAAAATCTTCTCAGCAAAGATGCACTTCATTCTTACCACAGGTTAGAATAAATGACACCAGCTGTGTTCCTTGTTATCTCTTTGAAATGCAATGATATGCCTGTAGGAGTGGCATCCTAGATTAGGGGCTAATATTTATTCTGTTAAAATACATGAAATAAAAATACACTTGGCTGAAGACAGAACAGGACTTCAAAAATTGCTAGTGGTTTCTAAAGAAAACTTTCTCTGTTTTTATTTGTAGGAAATGGATATAACATACGTAATCTTCTGAATGAAGAAAGTGTTCTTCTCTTCACACAACTCAAAAAAGACAGATGAAGAACTTTCTGCAGGAAGTTTGTTGAAAGACTTTTCAAGCGTTTGTATTTTTGGAAGTTCTTTTTACATACAAGAAGTGTTTGAGCGTGCTGAGGTTAATGTTAGGAATTAATACAGAGCAGCTGAAATCAGCATAAGAAGAGTTAAGAGCAAAACCTAAAGAACCTTAGTAGTTTGCTCTCAAACTGAAATGACATACTGAAGGGCCTTGCTCTGCATGTTACTGTTGTTGTGTCATCCAAAGATAGAAAGTTACATGTATAAAATTTGTGGGTAAAGAATATTGTTGTTCCAAATTGTATTTGTATGCCTAATCTCCCTAAAGATGCTTAGCACTTGAAAAATGTTGACATTTTCAGCTAACATCTGATAGTCTTAACGTCTGCCTGGTACAAACTGCTTAGAATAATCTCTATTTAAGTGGAGGACCATGCTGTTCGCATTCCAATAATTGTTGTCTAGGAGATGGGCTGCTGGAATGTTTGTGTGCTGGGGTCCAGCCTTCTTCTAATATCTTAATGACAGTCGTTTCTTCCTTGTCTAGCAGATGTATGATTAGTGCCTCAAATTCAAACTGTAAAATGGCAGCTCTTAAGTAGGAGCTCACCGGTTATATCTTTTTGTATGGAAGCTATGGCTTGATTAGCTCTGAACGTTGTTGATAGCTTTATTGTGTGTAATGGTGATAGGTCATTGCCAAATGTATTACTTTAATATGTCCTTTTGTTTTGCTTGCTGTGTTCCTGGATAATAATGAGGGCCTTTGGGAAAATTGTAATTATACTGTATACTCCAGAAGCCAAGTCTAGACAGCAGATGGTATACATAGCATTTGTCTCCCAAGCTCTTCAAGGTTCCTTCTGGCTGAAGATAAGGATATACTACAGCTATTCGGGTAGCGTGCTTTCTCTCCATGGTCACTGTTATTCTAGAAGAGAAGGAGAATAAGGAAAATTGAATTGGAATTGTAAACTTTAAGGACTAGAGGACTGATTATTGACCTTGTAAACAGTCTTGGCTGTGATCTTTGTGCTAAATCCTAGAGTATACATTAAAGCAGGAAAGGCTGTAGTGCTTCCCTTAAGCTTTCAGCTGCCAGCTAACTTCATGTGTCTGTGAAAGGGCTTGGACACCAAGATTACTACGTTTCTGTGAAAGACCCTTTAGATTGGGGAATTTGAGAGAATATATTTTTTTTACCATTCTCTTTCAAGCAGTAGTTCCTATGATTAGTGTATATATAGACTGACCATGGAAATACTTAGTAGAAGTTATGTGGCATCTTTGCATTCATGGCTAGGTCATTCTTAACTCTGAGAAGATGAAACAGAAGAACATGCCCATTGCCATTTAATTCTTCCTCTGTCTTGATACGAACTATTTGATGTCAAAGCTCAGACTGCACAGAAGGACCTTCTTTTTCTTTTTTTGCTAGCCTCAACTTTTGTAAGCAGTTTAAGAGTTAAAATTAAAAAAAGAAAGTAATTTAGTTACAGCAGATAATAATTTGATGTTGGCAGTTTTTCTAAATTTTAAGCTTGGGTTGGTCTCTTCAAGGTCAGCAAGATTCAAATATTGTCCCTTCTGTGTTGGAGCCATACCAGCTACCAGATGGGCACACATGCTGTCTCCACTGCTTGAGGGGATCCCACCCACTAAAGCGTTTAGTTTGTATGTCTTTCACCTCCTCAGGCCTGCAGAGGTCTGGAAATTTGCCACTTGGAGGACAGCGCAGGGCTAGCATTAGGCCAAAGATCCTCTGCTCCTGGCCCAAGCATGTCTCCCAGTGGTCAGGGCATGGATGTGGTGGTCTCTGATCCCCGCAGTTCATTGGTTCCAGCTGAAAGTGAGAACAAGACCACTTTTCAGTTGTGTTAAAGGCCAGGGAGTTCAGAAGGAAGATACCTTTGCAAATTTTCTTCTGCATTACCTGATTGCAGATCGGGCAGCAGAAGGGGGTTAGTGAACATGTGTGAACTACGGAGCTCGTGGCCCTAAAGGAAAGTGTGGTTATATGTTGTGACAGAGCTCAAGGCAGCCTTCTACTTTCCAGCAATGTGTTCTAGTTTGGTGGGTTCAGATGAGAAGTGATACGTTACCCTCGTGTCAGGCAGTGACTGCACTTCCCCCGCTGCACTATACTGCAACTTGGCAGCGAGGTTTTGAGTGGATTTTCTTTTGGTCATGGGTAAATGATGAAAAATATATCCTTCAGGATGTTTCCTTAAGCAGAATAACATGTGCAGAGCTTTTCCTGACACAGGCTCGAAAGTAGCAGATGTTCAAGTGAACGTTCGAGGTCAGAATGCCATAAATGTCTGTTTGTGTCTTTCTAATTCTATGGTTAGGAGTGTCAACAGAACAAGCTGGATTTGGTCAAGTAGGTAACTTTTTAGGCTGGATGGTTTTGTTGCTTCCTGGATAGTCGGTTTATTGGGAAAAATGTCCTGCACATTTTGCAGAGAACATTTTGTAGTTGGACTACATCTCAAAATGTTTGGGTTTTATTTTTTTTGAAGTAGCAAAATCGATTGTGCCAAGCATGGTGATGTATCTAGGATGTTGCTTTAGTTTAGCAACAATTCCATTATTTGCCACTAGATGGGGCTTCAGGCAAAGCTGTTTGCCCTTGGCTGGCATTTATGTTCAGTAGGGTTTGGTTTTTGAAAGGGAGGAAGAAGAGTACGTTACAGATGGAGATAAATTCAGTTGAGTTCTGTTATAAGGAGATGTAAATCAGTTTCTGTTACCATTAAGACTTGGCAGTGAACCTTGCTAAGGTCATTCTGTTAGCATGTATGTTTTACTGGTTGCAGCCACTTGCTCAAAGTTGTTTTTTAAAACATTAGTGTGCAGCAGGGGTTGAGTTAAGCTCGGTTGTTCACTGTTTGTCTGGACTGCATTTTAAATTTTTTTCTTCAACTTGGCACTTGTGAAAAACCTTGCTTCTGTGTCATTACCCAGAATATAGTGAGAGGAGGTGCAGGAGAATGTTCTGAGTTCCAGGACTCCTACGAGTGCTGATTTCTACAGTATGGCAAACAAGAATTGGTTGTTAGTCAGAAGAAGCTGATGTTTCACCTCTACCTGGGCTTGCTTTGCCTCCCATTTAGTACATTTTTGTGTACATCAGGCTACTAGTAGTCGAGGGTTACCTTTGGTGGTCTTAATTTTTTCTGTTACCAAACGGGATATTGGAAAGAAAGAAAAAAGCCTTCTCTGAAATGTGAGAAGTTAGTACTCTTCCTGCATATGTGTGGTTCTTTTTATCAGCATATTTTCTCCTCTGAGTAATCTAACTTCCACCAACTACTGTGATGGTTTCAAATAGATGTGTCGCAAAATATAGACTTGGTAAAATGCTAAAGTAATAGCCCATACAGAGCACACTGTGGTCTGTAATTTAAATATATATTCTTAGGGTTTCTATAATGTTATTTGCCTGGTGTAGCTTTTAAAACAGCTTTGAAATTATTTCATGGACTATAATGGCTTATATAGTCAGCTCAGATGGCACAACTTTTTACTTACACTAGAGTACAGAACATCACCTCTAATAGTAGTAGAGATCTGAGCCAGGTTTGTGCTAAGCTAGGCCAAAGTCAGTTAGGCAGTGTTACCTGCTGTGGGGTGAAGCTGGGATGGTCGTTGTGAGAGATACGTGGCCTTTTCTGTTGCCTTTGTGCTACGCATACTGTTCCTGGAGGATATCACTGGTTTAGTCTGTTAATTCATTGCTTTCTTTGAACAGTAATTGAGAGAGCTGGAAACAAAAGCCGAGTCACGTATTTTATCAGCTTCATGTTAGTAGGTATATGTGTTCTATGGTATTGTGGTAACAACTAGGGGCTTATTTTAAGGACCTTAACTGACAATGTCCCACCACAATAAAAAGCCAGATTTTTGAAGGCTTTGGCTCACTTTAAAAAAAAATTACTTTACTTGTTAGTAGGTGCTTTTGAAAAATCTATCTTTTTGTCATTTCATTTGGTTAGAAAGCTGTTCCTGTTTTACTAAACAAAGCCTTTTTGCAGTTTAAAGCAGCATAAGAATGGTTGCAAAACTGTCAGGTCTGTGCACACATCCATATTTGTACCACTTTGTAAATATAAAATGGGAGAATATGAGCAGAGCAATTACAGAAAAATAAACAGTGCCAATAAACCAAACTGTTGACGTACCTATACAGTGTCTTCTGTTTTTCAAGTACACAGCTGAATTGGTTATCTGCAGATGATTTTAAATTAACATTTGGGGAATACAATAAAGCTAAGGAGCTATTTCCTCATTTCATAACAGGTGAAAAGGCATTTCAGTAGGAGGGAATGTTTCTTACAGTTCTACTGATGTATAGACTCTGTTGCATGATGTCTTTTGTAATACAGGATTTACTTTATGTGATGATTGATTGCAGATAATACATCTAACTGAAGAGTATAGAACGTGCCTGTTTAGTAATATTGACAGCTGTTGTAACTGAATGTCTTAGTCTTTCCAAGCTGGTACGTTTCCTCTTCAGAATATCCTATCCCTTCATGGATCTTCACAGATGTAGTCAGAAAAGATCTCAAAGCCAAACGTTTCTCAGGTTGCATGGAAAAGCTTAATTGAGGATTTGACAACCAAAGTCGTTCCTGTGGTCCGGTTCTAAGATGAAAACAGTAGTTGATCATCAGTCAAAACAGTTGGCTGCAGATTATTAGGGAACAAACACATTGAAAGGAGTGCCTGCAGAGCTGCTGTGTTCTTAAGCCCACCCACAAAGCTCCTGTTCTGCTTTGGTTCATTCAAATTCCTGTGCTGAGTAAAGGCACACAGAAAAGATTGTAAAACCACATTTACTTTGCACTTCTGCTGCAGTCTTTTCTTGTCTGGAGCACAAGAGGGGCAATAATTAAAACAAGGAGCTGAAAGAAGCAAAGTGTTTACTTTCTCAGTCTGACCGTTCAGTTGCGATGAAAATCTAAAAGCGTTCACAGAAAAACATGTTAATATCCTGAGTAAGACTTTTAACGTCTCTTTGCAGCTCGATAGGTAAGGACTTTTAAATCTTAAAACTGAAGAATTGCAGTACTCTGGACAACTATTGAGGAAGTTTATTAAATGGGTACAATAGCTGTTAAAACACGTTATTTTATTTAGCTTATTACATTTTTTTCATGGTTATGGTGTTTTAAGTTGCCTTTTCCTGTGTTTTCAGTAACAGTAGCTGAAATGAGAATTGGTCAAGGTGGCAGATGAATGGTAATGCTGTGTGGGCGTCCTCTGGAATCAATGTCCCATAAAGAGAGAGAGAGGAAAGGAGTGACATGAGAGGTGTAAGCATAATGAAGAGCTGTAGGAGCGTCCAAAGGTGGTGCAGACTGGCTTGTCTAGGTTGAGCCAAAGGGTTTTCAGTGAAATTCACCGATTGGTAAGGGGAATCTTTCTGGTGTCGGTGCCATGAGAACACAGCTGTCTGTGCTGGTAACCTGCACTCCTGGTTTGGGATTCTAGTAGTGCTATGATCACTTGCATTTAAGAGCATTAAGTCATTTTATTTAAAACTGCAGGATTCAGCTAATGAACATGATGTATAATCCACTGAACAAGAGGCCTGAATTTACTGGATTTTAGCCTTTCTCTATGTTATCATCACTTTTGTGTTGGAGTACAGAGGGGGCAATTACAAGAAATTAAACATTATGAAGAAGTTTTTTTTTTTCCAAACACAATCTGAACTTTTATTGCTGACAAAGAGGGGGCTCCCCTAGGATGCAGTGGCCTATACGCTGAAGAAACGAAGTACTTCTGTATTTCAGTTAGTGCCAAGTCAGCTCTGAGGCTAATTAATCAAAACAAATTTACAATTAAGCCCAGGAAGGAAGACTAATTAAGTAGCCAGTTAAGAAAAAGTGCTGAAGGAGGGATCAACCTTAAGGGGAAAGTATGAGACTCCCAGTATTGGCCCATGAAGGACAATTAAGTGATAATTGCAGAGGCCTTTTTGTATCCAGCAAATGCTCTCTGACTTTTATTATGGCTGCTTTTCTTCATATTAGTAGAAGCAGACATTTGCCTCTTGAGCAACTAAGCTTTACTATGCACTCTTAAGGTAATTCATAGGTAAAGCACAGAGGTCGCTGCAGGAATAAATTAGGACACAGCTGCCAGACTTAAACAGCATTTCAGCTAGCAAAAACCCTGCTGTGTTTTAAAGGCATAGTAACTCTAAATGTTTGCTTTATTTGCCTCTTCGTTTTGTGGCATACCGAGTCCATCTTAGCATCCTGTTGAACCTTTCAAACAAACTGCACGGAGTGAATGATGAGAATTTAGAATAGCTTCATTTTCCTCAGTTGCTAACCCCACTTAAGTTCACAGAAATCATTACCTTGTCATGAAATGGCTTCTGTTGCTTACATCCTGCACCCACGCTAGATGACGTACTTGTGTATCTTGATGGAAAAAAAGAGGGGGGAACTATAATAGTAATATTATTTTTACTAAAAATAATTTAGCTCCTCTTCTAAGGGACCTTTCAGGATTGCAAAGCTCATCTCTGGTGAGATGCTGAGGGTTGCAAATGAGGTGCGTGCCCCAGTCCTGTGCCCCTCCTTGCCTATTTCCATGGAACTGTGATGCTAATGAGGTACAAAACCTGTCTTAATTAATTGGACACATGCATGGGCTAAGAATTTTCTTAAATTTCCACCCTTTTTTTTTTTTGTGTGTTCATTTATCTGCAACTTGAGTTATTTCAGAAATTACAAAGAAGGGGTTTCCTTATGTATTAAAAAAAGCATTGACAGTAATTTCCTTTTCTTCATGCAATTCTGTGTGTACATGCTGCCAGTGTGATGCACTCACTGTCCTGCTATGCAAGTTGACAGTTGTCTTCTTGGAGTATCTGTCAAAGGTGCGCTTCTGTCTCTTTTTGTCTTTTTTTTTTTCCTCCTTCCCCCCCTCCTCCTTCCATTCACCTGTCATTTTTTCAGCTCAGCTGCTTTATCAAGTTTCAATCTGCTCCTTCATTTTTTGTCTTGCTGCCTAAACTAATTTCTTGCCTTTTTTTGGATGCATTTCCCTTACCAAAGGTTTCTTTTTTGTGTTTGTGCTGCTTCCAAGGATTGTATCATTTTTCTAACTTAGTTCCAGGTATTTGAATGATTTCAGAGGTGGTTTTGTGCCTGAAGGTTTCTTTGCTACCTCTCCTTCAAGCTTTATACAGGGCCTGCCAAAGGTCCCAATTTTCTTGCTCAGAGAAGTGACACAAAGCTTCCTTTGGCCTCCATTCTTTGAAAGACTTTTGCATAGTTTTAATCCCAAGAAGGTCATCTTAGGATGTCACTGGCAAGGCGCTTGTTACCGTCGTCATCTGCTGTTTTCCAGACTGCGGTAGCAGAACTGAGACTGCTTCAGGCCCACGTGGTTGCCCTCAAACCTATCCATCTGTTGGGGCTGGCTCTGCAGCATCGAAAGAATCTGTCCCGACACCATTCCCCCTGGCCAGACTCATCCCAGAGCATCGCAGCATTGTGCTTTTTGCTCCTCTTGTAGCACTGATTCAGCGTGCTTGTGACTTCCTTTGCCTTGGCAGAATCTTGCCGTGGCCCTGCCATCACTTAGGCGCCGTGCCGTGCCCTGATTCTGCGTTGGCAGGCTGGTCCAGGCATTCACCTGCTCTTACATCTTCATTCTTCTTGCCAGTGGGAATGCCGTTTGGCACCAGCTGGTTTTGGCACAGAGGTCTAGCATGGCAGTGTGTGCCCATGGCTGCAGATACGGATGTGGACGGCATATGCCTTCTCGCACCATGTTGCTGCCTGACTTTTCTGGTAAGTGCCAGGGGAAAATAATCTTCCTGGTTTGTGATGTTTCTGAGGTGTCTGGACTGAATAAGCTGGAAGCTCACCTTCATGCATTTCTCTTGGTCAGGTCTCGGCTCTGTCTCTAAGCTCATTTGACATATCCTTCCACGCTCAGAACCTGCTATCTCTTCTACCCTACTTACTGCCCGTGGGTGGGGAGCGTATGTTTGCAGAGTACATTAGAGTGTTTGTGTACACACTTGGTATCCTCCTTCTTACCATTGTCACTGCTGTGGAGAGGTCAAGAGGTACAGAAGGGATCAGGAGACAGAAGCTCATATGTGGGGAAAGAGAGCTTATCTGAATCCAGGGCAACCAGCTCTAGGTGGTCCTGCTCGCGCAGGGCGGTTGGACCAGATGACTTCCAGAGGTCCCTTCCATCCTCAACTGTTCTGTGAAACTGGAGACGTCCATGCTGCTCCTCTGTAAGCTTACTCCACGTTTGTGTTGGGAGGAGCCTTATGGCGTACACCTCGAGCGGAGGGCCTGTTCCGTGTCACGCAGCGGGCCATCAGTGTGCCAACTGGAAGAGTGTGGGGTGTGCCAGAGCACTTGGCCACTGGTGAACAGCCACTGGTTTCCCTTTATCGGTACTAAAAGATGAAATGTGCATTCTGAGTTGTGTTGCAACTGTCATCTTTAACTTTCCCCATCTGATCCTTGCTCTGAGGTGTCCCTGTAAGGAAGACACATACACGTTTGATGAGAAGTCTGCTGATCAGTTTTGGGGAATTAGCTAACAATTTTCTGCACATATACCCCCCAAAATTTTAGTATTAGATATTTGGATAGTGGGCTGTTATTTTCACTTGAAAGTCTTACATACAGTCTTCATTCTGTATACAGCCTTTAAACCAGTTTGGAAATTTGGCATCTTGAGTGGTCCAGGCTATCAAGTGGCTGCTTTTCCCACCTAACTCTTCGTCTGGAGTAATAGTCATCAGCTGTCACTTGATGCAGTGAGTTGCATCAGACACTATTCTCTCATCTGGCAACAGTTTTAGTTCTTGGGCTTTTCTCTACTGTCAGCAGCTTTTTGTGGCCTTTGGGACTATAAATCATAGATTGCGGACCATTTGTCTAAACGTGAGCTAAAGTGAATTAAAATGCACACAAGAATTTTATAAAAATAGCGTGAAACTCACATGCGCATTAACTACTGAGGCCTCTTCATCCTGCACGAAATACAACATTTCATATTGGAGATGGCATAAGGAAACACATGCAGAACACGTGTCAGCGTTGCAACCAGGTGTGGCTTTGGCAACTCCAAACTTTGCACAGAGGAATGCATTTGTTAGAGACCACTAATAGTTAAATTAAATTAGCCTAATGTGCTCTTTTGAGCATAATTGAAATGATACTAATATTTTTATTGATTTGCCACTAGAGTAAGTATGTGAATGCTGTAATGTCCTTGCTGCTGTGAGTACAATTTCTAGACTTTACTGTCTAGTAACTCCCCAACATTATGGCACAGTCAGATAGGCCTTTCCTACACTGTGTTAATTTGAACTTATTTCTACTCTTTTTATAACCCATACCAAGAGCAAGAAGCATATGTTGGAGACCTCTTCCCCATCACTTTGCCTGCAAATTGAAGATCATCTAGTGCAAAGGAATTCTGAAGAACACTGTAACTACCATCACACTGGAAACACGCTCCAGTGTGTTGTTTCATTGATCTTAAAAGATCTAGTGTAATTGGAGATCTTAAAAGATCTCTAGTGTAAATTGTAAATACATATTTTGTTACAAATTATTTTGTCTTTTCTATAAATAAATGTTAAATAATGCAAATCAGTTTTGATTTCTTTGATTTCTAAATCATTTAAGAATTAATTATCTAGTAGTCCGTGTGGTTTTGAAAAATGCAGGTAATTGCATGAGTTTGACTTGTAAATATTTATAAATAATGTGAGTTACTTTGTGTGGCTTCAAGGATGTCACCAACAGTGAAATCTTTCAGCTGTTCCGTTGGAGCTGTTGAAACTCTTAAAAGGAGTATGGAAGTGTTTTTCATAGAATAGAATCATAGAACCATTTAGGTTGGAAAAGACCTTTAAGATCATTGAGTCCACCTGTCAACCTAACACTGCCAAGTCCACCACTAAACCATGTCCCTAAGCACCACGTCTACATGTCTTCTAAACACCTCCACGGATGGTGACTCTACCACTTCCCTGGGCAGCCTATTCCAATGTTTGATAACCCTTTCAGTGACGAAATTTTTCCTAATATCCAATCTAGACCTCCCCTGGGGTAACTTGAGGTCATTTCCTCTTGTGCTATCACTTGTTACTTGAGAGAAGAGACTGACCCCCACCTCACTACAATCTCCTTTCAGGTAGTTGTAGAGAGCAATAACATCTCCCCTCAGCCTCTTCTTCTCCAGACTGAACAACCCCAGTTCCCTCAGCCACTCCTCGGAAGACTTTTCTCCAGACCCCTCCCCAGCTTTGTTGTCCTTCTCTGGACATGTTCCAGCACCTCGATGTCCTTCTTATAGTGAGGGGCCCAAAACTGAACACAGTATTTGAGATGTGGCCTCACCAGTGCTGAGTACAGGGGGACGATCGTTTCCCTAGTCCTGCTGGCCACACTACTCCTGATACAGGCAAGGATGTCAACCAACACCCCCAGGTCCTTGTCCTCCAGGCAGCTTTCCAGCCACTCTTCCCCAAGCCGGTAGTGTGGCATGGGGTTCCTGTGACTCAAGTGCAGGACCCGGCACTTGGCCTTGTTGGATCACACATGCCAAAACAGATGAGCTTTTAAAAAAAAGATGTCCTAGTTGACAGCGGCTTTTGTTCCATTTTGAATCCTTGCTGTGCCTGTCATAATTATACAGAAAATCTGGGTTGAAATGCTGCAGAATTCTTCTGGTTTTTCATGTAAATCTTAAACCAAGCTACATTTTGTGGCAGTGTTGCAATCATTCAGTGCTCTTCAGATTTGTTATGCGATGACTTAACTCTCCTCTGCATTCTCCATGAAATTTTCAAGGTGTTTCCATTTAGCTGGGAATGGTGCTCCTGGAGTGTTACCTATTACGGCAGGTCTCCCATAGTCATCAGAGTGAAATAAAATGAAAGCACCTCCCATCCCTTCGGGAAAATATGGTCCATTAGTTTTTCATTTGCCAGGAGCATCAGTTTTTAATATTCTTCCCTTTCCCTTTATCTCCTGGGAATATCAATCTGCATAGATCTATTATTAATTCCACAGCAACGAGCTCATTTACGCAAAAATCTTTACTGTGGGTAGTAAAAGTAGGTCTCCCTAGGAATGATTTAAAATCCAAATTGGGCTCAAGTATATCATGCATAGTGCTGGGTTGTTGTTGAGTTTCTTTTTAGTGGTGGTGGTTGGTTGGTCGGTTGGTTGTTTTTTTCTGAAGTATCTTTGCCTCATCTGAACTCACTGTTTTTGTTAACAGCCAAGTGTTGTAGGATTGTCCAGCATTTAAAACTTGGGAGTCTGGATCAGTATTAAAACAATTCTGGAACCAAACCAATTTTTGGAAGTGAGAGGGTAAGCAAAAAAATCTTCTCCTGAACATCAGCGGACTATGCTATGAATGGTAGTGTATTAACGGTATTTAGATGTTGCAGAGAAGGGAGCAAGAGGGCTTTTCCACTCCTGGAAGGTTCTGCTGGAAGCTCCGTTTATAACATTCATTCCCATCAACCCTGCCCAAGCATTTTACCAGCAAGAGCCTGGCTGAAGTGCAGGCTTTCCACCTGCAGTTCTCGTGGTTCTTGAAGCCCTGTCTCAATATCATCGACTAAAGCATTTACTGTTACCTAAAGCAGGGGAGAATCCAGCTCTAACACTCAGCCACCTACTGCCTCTTCTGTGTGCCTGGGTGACGGGAAGGGGAGGGTGGCCCTGCCTTCTTGCAGAGGGCCCAAAACTGATGCGACTTGAGCACTGTTGCGATCAGTGACTGCGTAGGTTGCTTTGTAGGATCCCTCAAGCAGGTTGTGGATCTGGGTACTCTTTCTTCATCCTGACCATTCAGCCGGGGTCGTGCTCTTTTGCACTCGTGGTCTGACATGAGGAATTGTTACTGCTTTTCTTCACTTCAGAGTGTTGGAGACGCTTTTATCCGCAACAGTCCATCACAGTTTCTTGTTAATTGGATCAAGTCAATGCCTTGGACAGAAACAGAGCGATAACCACATATATCGTGTACTGTATTTTGATAAGCAGGAAGATTGTTAATACGTCTTTTTCTTTTACTTGCCTTAACCTGGAAGGATCGGAACGTGTGCCCTTCCTATGCCAATTAGACTCAGCCGTAACTTCACAGAAGGAGGGCAGTTCCAGTAAAATCCGCACAGTGACCCAGTAGTAACTTTCAGGAAGCAAGGAGCTGCTTTGTCTTGTATCTTTGTACTGGTTCTTTTTTTGGGGCGTGGGGTGGTGTTTTTTCAGTTCCTCCGGTAATCATAGATGGACCATTTCAAGTTTGTCATGTCACTTGAAGGTCTAAAAAGTTTCAGGAGTTGTAAGGAGTGATAAACAGGTAAGGTGCGCTATTCATAGGGGCCACAACAGAACCTGAGGCTGAATTTCTCTTGCATGCAGAAGATTTCAGTGTAAATTTTTTTATCGTTGTGGATAAAAAGCAAAGTACTGGTCTTAAAAATTATCCCAGTGGGCTGGCTCTCTCCACTGCACAGCAGGAGGAGGCAGGTTATCCAGTGGCCCGGGACCAAGCAAAAGTGCCGGTGGTTATCCTGTAGCCCAGTTGCAGGCACGGCATGGGAGTTGCTTGCTCGGCCATGGAGCCACGGAGTCACTGCTGGGGGGTTGCCAGGCCAGTTCTGACCTCCTGTGCTCCTTTGTGCCTCGAGATGTGGTGGATGTAAAGGCAAAGGCTTGTAGCCAGGACTTGAGAACAGCCTCAGAAACTCCGCGTTGTCTGGTGGTGGTAGAAGAGGTTATTAAAAGTCACATATATTACATGCCTTTGGCAGCTCAGGGTTGGTTTTATGATGTGAGTCTCTTGTGTATTTTCAGTATCTTGAGTTAAAAGAATCCTTCTCTCCTGTCGGAAGCAACTTGGTCACACTGGTATGTGGTCTGCTGGTGCACAGCTGTGACTGCTGTCGCATGTGATTCAGATATTCCTAAAATAAGACTCTCATTCCTCTGCAGATAAGCAGATTTAACTTGTCTGTTAAGGATCGTGTGATTTTTATTTTTATTTTTTTCCCTCTTCTGTTTTGAACTGGGCGTTATCCATACACATGCTTAACTGAAAGAATACATATCAAAGCAGTGCCAAATGTTTTGCAGCCTAAGGAATTAAGACTGTGAAGTGGAGTTCATTATGTTGTGCAAAGAAAGCCAAAGGACGAGGTGTGGAAAGCTCTCCCGGCTGCCTCTCAAGCTTTCCTGTGCCACAGTAACCTTGTTCTGCTGCTGGGGCTGCCCCAGCCTGCTGAAGCTCTGCCGCCCGCCAGTCCGACTGCCATCGTGTCTGCTTTCTCCTGCTCCTTCTGGGATCCCAGTCTGTGCGAGAGGCAGAGAAGCCTATTTCCAGCTCAGACTGATTGTATTTAATCTTTTTTTTTTTTTCTTTTTTCCTCATGAAGGAAGTAAGCATAATAGAACTAATCTGTAGGATTTACAGATGGGAATTCCGCCAGCCCTGAGGATTCATGGGCTCGAAGCCCTGTGCTTGATTATTTTACATTTATGGCATAAAAATCAGCCTGCTTTAGGTTACTCTGCTAAACGTTGCAGAAAAAAAAGGCACTTGGATCAGCACTGAGCCAAGGGAACTCGAGCAAGAGGTAGCCCGGTATCTACTGCCCAGAGTTCCCCTGCTGCTGGTTGCATTTCTGTCTCACACTCACACACACACACACACACACACAGGGTGGGTGGTGTAAACGCTTCTGAATTGCCAAAAAACCACTAACGTGGTGGCTTTTGGCCCTTGGCATCTCTTGCCCTCTCTCCTTGAAGGCAAACAGGGAATGCAAGCAATTGGACCAGAACAAACAAGTCAGAAGACTGCACTTGGCTTTCAGAAATGTTTTTTTCAGCTTTTTTAGGTAGTGCTCACATCATCTCACTCTGAATGAATGAATGAATGCTGTGGTGTTTTGGCATGGGGTTTTTTTGTTTGTTTGTGGTTTTTTGGCAGTTCAGCCTCCAAAGAAGCTTCTAGTGCCATGTCCCTGTACCCTAGGCTAGCATAGAGGCTGGTAAAATGAATGCAGGAGCAAATGGACACAAAACCCAGTCAAAATACGCTAAAAATATGTATCGGATAAGTTTTTTTTTCCCAGGTTTGAGAGTACTTGTTGCTCTTTTCCCTTCTCCTGTCTACTGAGGCTGCTGAGCGCCAAGCCGCTGCAGAGGATGGAAGGCACACACACCCATGGCCCACTCCGTGCCAAGGATGGTGCCGCCGTCTGCCTTCCACCACTTCCAGGCTGCCGTGAGGGTTGGTGTTTCCCAGGGAGCAACCCTTGCCATGCTGCCCTGGGCTCCAGAAGGCGGGAGGAACCTGAGCCAAGCTTACTGAGCTGTTGGAAGGATGCACAGAGATTTATACTGAGCTGAAGGAGGCCGGTGCCCTCCGGGGATCTGCATCCCTTCTGTGCTGGGGAGGTACCTGTTCGCTGCTGGTGTGCACAGTTCTGCTGGGGGCAGTACAGAATCACAGAATGGTCAGGGTTGGA